GCTGGAAAAGTGGGGGTCGTCTTGTACATGGGGGCATCTTATTGTCGGAAAAATACGGTATGTTATCAGGTCAGGAGAGAGAGAAAGTGACAGTAGGCAGGGGAAACTCCAGTTTATCTAAGCTCTGGTTTTGGAAATATCTGATATTGTGGAGTTTAATATTGTAATAAGGCTTTTTGAATTATTTTAATTTCTGAACTCTTCCAAAGAAAACTTTGCATCTGTCATTGATTAAAAACAGTTGTAAAATTAAGGGGCCATTTAGCTTTCCTAATATTAGATATTTCCAGTATTTAGTTGATGTTTCTTTGTTTGTGGTATATTTTGACAGTCATGCCAATTAGGCAGTAAGCGTCATATATCTGAAGCCTATCAGAATTTGATAGGTGGGTTATTTTTGGCCATGATTAATAAAACATGCTTGTTAAGATGCTTCATATACCAGTGCACTTCTGTTTATTAACACTACTATTTTGCCTTTTGTAAAGCAGGCTAGGTTATTCCAGCTGATTCTGTGACCTGTATCAGAGAATTTTAAAGGTGGATTTGTAAATTTTTAAATAAGAAAAATTGGTTTAACTAACTGGTTCAGTATACTTCATATGCAACAGACGATTTTTCTGTTTGGACACACATTTAACATATAAAATCCATTGTTTCTGAAATATTCAAGACAACTTTTGTCATTTGCATCAATTTATGTCCTTTGAGTAATGACATATTACAAGTTATCCATGGTTTCTCATTTCTGCGATAGATAAATAAAGGACAAGCCTTGGTATATATGTAAAGATTTTAATGTATCCTTAGTTTTGACCTTGTGCTTTGTTACTTTACGAAAGCATAGAATGATGGATGGGCTTTGTTACTTTATGAAAGCATAGAATGATGGATGGGCTTTGTGGTTACATAAGGTAAGTTTTTTAAGGATAGGGGTTAGGTTGCCTGCACAATGTATGTATATTTGCTCATTCTCATGGTGGAATTCTAGTTCTACCACTGAATGCTAGTAGTACTGCAAAAGACTGCATGCAATTTAATTATTGCAAGCAATTAATGGGCAGTGTTGCTGTCCAGTGCTGTGATCAAGAGATCCCTATGTTGAGATCATAAAAGAGCAACAGAGAGCAGAAAAGCTAGTGTGACCCACAAGATGCAAATGGGGCATTTCCATCTATCACCAGCCAAGCAAATTCAGTCTGAAGAAGAGACTACATGAAGCACTGTCAGGCTGACCTAGTGAGATGCACCATGAGTGAGCGAGGAGGTACATTGCACAGATGATAGCTATGGAAGAAAGAGAGATGAAGTTCTCATTGGAAGAAGAGAATGATCATAGGGTCTGGAGTAGAGGCTGATGGGTGCAAAAAGAAGTGTGAGCAACCAAATAGGCATCTCCAGAGCTGTGCCATAATATGATTTGGATACTTTGTTCTCCAGAAAGTAAGATCTCAGCCACTGCAATTGAGAATTTATTAAACTGAAGCTAGGAAACTAATTGCTAGGCAGCAATTAGAGGAAAGCAGGATTTTAAAACCTTGGGATGATGTTTTCAGATCCTATTTATTATAGTACCTAGGACTGGGTGTAAGAGGGAAGTATAGTTAATTAAACAGGATGTTTTTAGTTGAAGTAAAATATGGTGATATAAGCATGGAAGGTGCAGACAAAAAGTTTGTGCATATCTCAGTTAAATAAATCATTATAAAATATGTACCAATATCAAATTAAAGTAACCTCTATTTATTGTTTTATATATTTTATGGAAATTGGGATATGAACAAGAATTCTGATTCTAAATATATTTAATTAATACATAGAGTCTCTGGAATATATTGGGAATTAAGATTACACAGTTTTATATTTTAAAATGTGCTGGTTTTTACTAGCCCAAATTGATAATGAGAATGTGTCTGGACCTACATTTAAAGATTAATATTGAAAGTTCATCTTTATCTTTTTGACATACATGTTCATAAATATCATATACAGCAGGTTATATTTTCTCAACCTCAGTTCTTTACAAGTCATTCCATTAGACTGCTGCCAAGATCTGGTGTCACTTAGTGTCATTTGGGGGATGCCAGGTATTGACATAGCAATAATATTAAATCAGTCATGTTAGCTTAATTAGAATTTTTTATTTATGCATTTACAACACTTATAGGCTGCTCCAGTCAGAACTGATCCTGAGCAGTATGCAATTTTCTCTCCATAAAAGATTAAAAAGATAAGAAACCCCATCATATAACATAATAATGCAATGGTAGCCTGTGAGTTATAATATCAAAAGTTAACCTGCTATCATAATTGTTCTGTTTCAGGTTGCAGGCACATGCACACACAGACATAGTTGCTAAGGAGTTGAGTTTTTTTCTACAGCTAAGCAGACAACACCAGACAAAATCGTAAATCAAGGACTTTGCTAAGAGTGCTTGCCTGAATAATTCCATTTAAAGTCCAAGTAGCAAGAGAGTGGTCTAAATATATTCCAGGAGTCACAGAGAGCCAAGTCAGGTAGTCAGACAGTCCAAAAGTCAGGGATTCAAGAGCAAGATACAAGAAGAAGAGCCACGAGCTGGAATTTTGAACAGTTGATTCCAACAAGGCTGAAGGCAAAGTGGCTACGTCTATCTATCTGCAGGCAGCTAGCTGCAATTACTCAGGCCTCACCCTTTGCCTAGCGAGGAGCCTCAGGGAGTGGCATTGCTCTGCTCACTGTTGCATGCGTCGAGACCTGGGGCATGGAGGTTGTGCCTCATCATCCAGCTGATCAGGAGATGCCTATGGTTGATCAGCCTCAGATGAATCGTGGCTTGATGATTCCTGTGGCTGACATTCCTGAGGTTGACAAACCACAGGCTCAGTTGAAGCAACTTTGTCAGAGTCAGATTCTGAATCGTGGCTCATAACAATAATGTTTGTATTAAAACTTGTGGAAAGTATGATCAGAAATAGGTACGCTAATAACCATAAGGATTTGTTCTGATTCTTGGTACAGGTAGTCCCTGGGTTAAGAACACCCAAATTACAGGCAACCCATAGGTAAGAGCGGAGCCTATTGTAGCAAAATTCAAGTTAAATACACAGTGATTCAGGTTAAATAAGAATGTTTCAAGTTAATTACACAATACTACTTATACAGTTTTATACAATAATACAGTTCCGACTTACGTATAAATTTGACTTAAGGACAGACCTTGGGAATGGAACTCATTCTTAAACTGGGGACTACCTGTACTAAATTTCATTTGTGTTTATCACACTTGAAGTGTTTGCTCAACAAATCTGATTCCTCTATTCAGAATGATGGGTTATACACATTATATTAGAAGAAACATTTGTCCTGTACCAAACCTGGATTTTAGTAGATTTCATCTTTATTGACAAAGATACTCATTGGAAGTCTCATATTTCTCAGGTGCTCATTGGTGGGATGGCAGAGCAGAAAATAGAATGTCCCTTTGCAAAAGTTTTGGAATAAATATGAGATATAGTGGCCTTTTCCTTTTATTCTCCCTCACATACCCTGGGTAGGAGATGTAGAGTTGTTGGGAGTCAAGCAGCATATAAATTTAAATAATAATAAAAATTATGGTGGTGGTGATGATGTAGTGATGAGAACATATATAGCTATTGAACTTTGATGGTGAAAATACAACATTTTTATAAAATGAGTGGAAGTCCAAAAGAGCAGACGGTCTTTTCAAGGTGGCATTATTTGTGAAAGTGGTGTTATTTATGAAAATCAAGGTGTAGATAGTTTACATATTGCTGTACAATATTTAAATGAATAAAACCTGCATATTAACACATTAGATAAGTCCCAAGTTCACCTAGAAAAGTTAAGATTGAATAAAACAGGAACTACAATGCAAATCTCTGAAGATAAGACTTAGAGATATGATATCTAAAATCATTTTTATTGACTGTTCAGTGAACTCTCATTTAAAATTTGAGGCCTAAAAAGCTAATAGAACACAGCTTCATCCCCATCCAGTTCTCTGCAGTCTGTTTTAGAAAGTTATGTTTGTATTACACATCTAAGAAATAGATTCTAGTAACAAGTGAAATTATTTTCATAAGTACATTAGAGGAATGTGGGGGGTGGGTGTATATGTTTTTTTAAAGCTTGAATGGCAAATTTAGGTGATAATGGTTATTATTATTTTATATGACTGCATTTTCCCCAGGCTGTGGTACACAGTTCCACAAGGGTTGTGTTTCACCACCATTTTCAGAGTTTACAAAGTCTGTAAAATATCTCTCTTTCACCAGACTTTTCACTGTTAAATCATTTTAATACCAATTTCACTATTAATTGTAATTCATGCTTATAACTTTCAATATTTTGTTTTTGTTCTTATTCTGTTAACCTGTTGGGTACTTGAAGGGTAGAAAGGCAGGATAGAAATGAAATAAATAAAAATATTTTATATGCCAAAATATTGGAGTTATTACTTATAAAAATGGAGATCTAGTTCGATATCCATTGTTGAATGGAGAACCTTCATGAAGAGTTATACATTTCTGAAAGCTTCTAAAAGGCAGAGTCATTGTAGTATCCTGCAAGCTGATCTGATAATTCAATTTAGCAATATAGCCCCTTCTCATATAATTGCTATTATTTTGTTTTGTTATAATTCTTCCTTATGTTCTTTCCCCTAAAGGAAATCAATAATATATTTTGTAAGTAAAAGACAATACACATAGGGTTATGGACCATTTCTTCAGAATTATATGACCTGATGTAATGAGTTTAGGACAAATGATGACTGCATTTTATATAATTGTCTTGTTAAACAATGTATTGGTTCATGTATTTGTGACAACTTTAGAAGTAAACTGCAGAGATTATTGGAGGAATATAAAATACATCTTTTTGGAGAAAATGTCTTATACCTGGTTGTATTTCTCCAGCTTGCACCTTCCCTTCCATTGCAAGAGGACTTTGTTTACCATTGGAAGGCAATTACCCATTACTACATAGAAACATCAGGTAAAAGAAAGTTCATTGTTGTCACAAGTAGTGATCTTTGTTGTCACAAGTAGTGATCTAAAATAATCTTCTTGAATTTATTGCCCTCCAGCTGGTTGTACCCTATGTTTGCTAGGATGGGTAGGATCTGGCATACACAGAATCGGATCAGAGAAGTAATAAAATTAAGGGGAATCTTGTTGATGACCTCTGGATGGTGTACTTGGCAAGACTTCTAAAACACATTTGTAGTATTAGCAGAAGTCCAGAATCTTCAGCTGTTGCAAGTTGTTCCTATGACTTTGACCTTCTTTACATTTAAATATCATTTATTTGTAGACAGTTGCATGGGGGGGGGGTGATGGAACAAACTTTCCATGGGTTTATTTATAATCTAACAGTTTCTTTAGACAAAGTTATATCACCATTGCTTTTAGCATCCTGAGACAAATAAATACCATGTAGGCTTCAGTTAAATGTATTTACACCAATAGTATAAATGTTTTGTTTGCTTTTTCTCATATGTTAAATATATTTTATACTGAGATTTAACATCAGAAAATATGTGTAATTAGCAGCATGGAAGATGTGGATATGTAACTGAAACTTTTTTCCAAGGACCTTTCACCAAGATTGTTTCTGTCCTTTCATGCCAAAATGTTGTCACCCATTTGCTTTAATAGGAAGCTAATAGGACAGATAATGCACCAATTTCACAGTTAGCAAAAATAACAGATATATTTGCCTTTTCTATTTCTTCTATTACATGAGAAATTTTAAAAGTAAATAAAAAGAATATTTGCTGTAATGGTAAATTACTGTGCCATGCTAATGATACAGAGGCTGGATCTTTAACGGAAATACTTTCTATAGATGACAAAGCTCCTGTGACTGATACCAATATTCCATCACATCTGGAGCAAATGTTGGACATTTTGGTTCAGGAAGAAAATGAAAGGGAATTTGGGGAAACAGGGCCTTGTATGGAATATCTGCTACATCACAAAATCTTGGAGACTTTATACACCTTGGGCAAGGCTGATGTAAGTATATAAGGTTTTATTAAGAAAGGCCAGATTTTATGATTGGATGTAAATGTGTTTACTTAACATATGTATACTTTTTTAGTATTGGGAATATTAAGTCATCGTGTTTTTCCAGTCTTCTTGAACAAGAAATGATATGTTGGAAATGATAATTCAGAGATATTGCTAGATAGATAGAAATGTATAAACACATGAAAATGATGACATCTGTGAGGGTCTCACAAGTTATGCTGATTGAAAACTATTGAATTCTGAATTTGTTGGTTCCTAAGTTAATCAATCCAATTTTCTTAAAAAGTACATTGCCCAGTTTATATTAACCTTTACTGGAATTATCAATCTGTGATTGATCTGAATTGTAAATCTCATCAAACTCTGCAATACAGCTTAAAGGCACATCTCTGTCAGCCTTTCTGTGATGTTGCTTTCATCATTCTGCCCATCCCATGCCTGAGGTCGCTGCTGGGACAGTGACAGCATACATGGTCTCATCTATCCAGTTTTAGGCCCATAAGTGCTAATTACATTTTCAGTAAATCAATACCTAAACTATATTGGTAGCTTTCCATACAACCAGTGCAGTCATGCCAATGCACAGGGCTCATGTATCTCTGTTAGTTTGAAATGCTGGTATGGCATAAAAACAGGTCTGTGCAGAGATAGATTCAAATGGAAAAATGTGAGTCCGTGTGGGCAAGCACATAGCACCTGGTGGGAATCTTTAAAGCAGCTACATCTTTTTTTCAGCTCATGCAGGTACACTTCATAGAGGATGAACAATCCTAGGAAAGATATACTTATTTTAAGGTGTTTCCAACAGGTACTATGTGTTCAGCTCTAATATATAAGGTGTGTTACAAAGATGCTGTAATTCTAGAAAAGAATTCTAGATGCTATAAAAGATGTTTTCATAACTATAGTAATTGTGTACTAATTCTTTGTTATAACATTAATCCAGTATTTATTTTTTTATTGTATGTTAATAAAATGGTATCTGTTACCATCTTTCAATCAAAATAGGACTCAAGAGAGCTAAATACAAATTTTAAAAAATAAAGTTTTATATAACATCAGATATAAAAATAATATTGAAAATAATTATTTTCATCAGTATCCATATAGTTTTTAATTTTTGCTCATTTTTTTTCCAGTGTCCTCCAGGCATGAAACAGCAGGTTTTATCTTTTTATACTAAACTTCTGGGAAGAATACAGCAACCTCTTCTTCCACACATAAATGTACACAGACCTGTGCAGGTATTGGATTAATTTTAAAATGACACATTTTTAAATAGATTCTTCTTGATTGTTAAATATATTTCAGTTTTGCTATTTTAAGAACATCGAAAGCAGCATTATACAATATACTCAGAAATAAAAATTGTTACTTTTTTTAAAAGAAATCTATTTGATTTTTTAAATTTGTATTACATTTTCTATATGTTTTTTTTCAACAGAAATTAATCAGACTTTGTGGTGAAGTCCTAGCAACACCTACAGAAAATGAAGAAATCCAATTTCTCTGCACAGTATGTTCAAAATTGAAACAAGATCCATACCTGGTTAACTTTTTCCTTGAGGTAAGTAAATCCATTGACTGTGCTTTTGTTACTGAAAAGTCAGTTTAAGTGCTTAAAAGTCCGCTTATGTATCAGATTTTCTTCTAAGAGTGTCTTTTCAATTTTACAAAAAAGGAAACAGCTACTTGTACTTTAGTAGCTACATCAGGACACAATAGATTTAATGAATTATTTCAGCTTTGTTAAGTAAGAAGCATATTTTTCATGGTAGATTCATATACATTCATAAATCCAGCATAGCCTTTTACTTTAATTTCCTACCCTAAAATTCCTTGTAATAGGCATTCATAGTACTTTATTACCTTGAAGCAATTTAAACAGAGTTGCTTCCTAATTCATAGATTCCTTGGATAGAAATTTTTAAAAAGATTGGATCTGCATGGAAAAAAATGATACTAGATTAGTTTGTAGTACTCATAATTTCCTCTTGATTTCAAGCATTCTGCTTTAAATTGAGCCTTAAAGCACTTGAACTTAATGGTTAGGGTCTGGGATTATTTTAGTAATCCCATTGCTATAAGGAGGGAATTTCCTCATCAAACAGCAAAAAGTAACAGCCTTCCAGTCACTTTTGGACCACATACCCCCTTTGACCAGGGTATTGATGATCATTGTTCCTGATCCACAGTCATAAATGTTTCTCCTGGGAATAGCTGACTAAATCAACTTTTTTGTGCAAACAGGGTTAAAAAGCCTTATTGTATATCTTCTATTTCATCCTTGAGAGGTTGCTGAACGGAATTATTCTAGGTGAAATAGAATTGGTGATGAACAATCATCCCTTCTATGATAAATTTGCTAAATACCTTTGAGAAAAAAAATGTATTTCCACACAGATTTGGATATACAATTACAACAGTTATGGAAGAAGTTTTAGAGCACTTCCAATTCAAGTGTTTTCAGAATAGTTCCAATTAGTGTGATCTGAGGGGGGAGTCAAAATGTTTGAATTGAAATTCTTCACAACATTTAGCTTGACCCTATTGTGGCTTGTAAATATTAATTAGATGTGTCCAGTTAGTAATAAAATAATGAGGTCATTTTCAGGGAGACAGTAGCACAGCTTCTGCTGAAGAGGACCCCTCCACTAGTTTCGGAGAGACATGAAAATTAAGGTACTGGAGAGACAGGTGGTTGGTTAGCTTTAAGTGTTCTTGGAGGAAACAGATTATCTAGAACCATTACAATATGGTTTACGTTAAGGGGTTGGAACCAACATCATGTTGATCATCCTAATAGGTGGTCTGCTGTAAGAGAAAAATGTGAAAGTATAACCCTGTGCTTCTGGATCTCTCAATCACTTTAGATACTACTGACTATACAGTAATATATTGCTGGACTGGCTCTATGAGTGGTAGCTGGAATCACAGTATTGTGGGATTAGGGGATTTTGCTTATCTCCATAATGAAGGAGTGGTGCAGTGTGGAGTGCCCCAGGGATCAATTTTATGTCCTGTCTTTAATATCAGTATGAAGTTGCTTAGTGAAATGATCACTTAGTGACTCTGAGTCATTGCATCAGAGTTAGATTCTAGCCTACTTTGTTTGGACATTGTAATGGGATGATGAGGACTTAAAAACTGAGGCTGAATCCTGTTAAAAACAGAAACTCTGGAGGGTTGTTTTTTTTTTTAAAAAAAAAGAATTACTGTGTTTATTTTATAGGTCAAAAGAAACTAAAAAGAGAAAAAGGAACACCCCCCCAATCAAAACTAATATGACAAATTCATGTCATGTTATACAGGTAGTCCTCACTTAATGACCATTTGTTCAGCAACTGTTCAAAGTTACAGTGGTGCTGAAAAAATAACTTTATGATCATTTATGACCTTTGCAGCATCCCTCAGTCACGTGATCACCATTATAGTCAGTACACCTGACCTGTGTTGCCTCCCCCTTGCAGAGCAGAGAGATTGGAGAGGAAGGGATTGCAAGAGAGTAAGCTGTTTGCTTTTCCACACATTGAAAGCAGTGTGATTGAGCCAGCAGCCCAGGGCTGGGAACCGCAGGCGCGCTATGCAAACAGCTTACGTTACTCTCTTGAAATCTCTTCCTCTCCAATTTCTCCACTGGAGGTGGGAAGCAAGCAATTTCTGTAGGGAACCTCTCTTTTGCCTAACCTTTTCCCCCCTCATAGAGCAGAGAGATTGGAGATGAAGGAATTGCAAGAGAGTAAGTTGTTTGTGTAGTGCACCTGCAGCTCCCAGCCCTGGGCTGCCAGCATGATCGTGTTGCTTTCAATGTATACAAGACCATAAGCAGGCATTCAAGCATTCCAAAGGGTGGGGGAGTGGTTAGGAGGTCAACAAAAGCTGAAGGTGTGAAACTGAGTAGTCTTGTCTCTTTCCAGCCAGAAAGCACAGTCGCAGTCCGTTGATTTCCCACTTAGCGACCACTTCGCTTATTGCCAGAGTTGCCGGTTCCAATTAGGGTCATTAAGCAAGGACTACCTATACATTAAAATTATTAAAACTTAAAGCAGTTTATTTAGCAAAAGAAAATGCACATGCAGTCCAAGTTTTTGAACAGTCCTCCAGTCAGGACTTCCAATGGTAACATGTTTGATCAAATACAGATAAAGAGGTACCATTGTGGAACTGACTGAGAATACATATGGTTAAAATCTTCAGAATTTTTTGCTAGCGTAAAAGCATGCAGTATTGACTTCTGCTATCCTTTTAATTTTTGAACCATTCGTGAGTAATTCAAAAGATCATGAGGATTTACAAAAATAGTTAGTCTTCCAGAACAAAATTAACGTGTAGGAAATTCCTTTCATTCCATTCACAATACAACACATAAATCTGTGCTGCATTTTTCTAACAATTTAGTTGAACCCATTGATACCTTCTTAAATAGATTAAAAATGCCAACATAAAATATTTTTATTGAATTAATAATGAATTTAGATGTATAAAAATATCATGCATGAAATGGTCTTCCTCAATGTTATGTACCAGACATTCCATTTCCATATTCTCTGCCTCTTCACCTTCTAATTTAGTATATTTGAAGCTTATTATTTTGTATATAAATTGTTAAAGCTTCTAGAGTTGGAGGGGGCTCTGAACCAACATTGATTACCAACACATACCTAGATGTCAGAAGATGTTTAACTGAACATATTGCTGGTCTGCATTTTTGGGGAGCTATAATTTAATAACAGCAATTATTCCATTAATCCTATTAATCCTGCTAATTGCTCTGAGATATATATTCCAACAAAAACTCTGTGTTTGCCAACAAAAGTATTGTCTGGCTATTTTTCAGTGTGGATTCCTTGTAATGTTTACTTAAGAGAATAATAACAATAAAACAGGCATTAGCTTAGCATTGCATACCATGGCTCTCTAGAAAAGAGTATAGAGGGAGAATTCATCATTGGATGTTTAAATTGCCTTTTAAATTTTTTTGTAAAGTGAAAAAGCAAGTGCTAAAAATAATATGTATTTGGAAAAAAAGTAACCCAAAACAATGCTGAGAGCAACTAATAAAAATATAAAAAATAACAGATAATTGGAAAAATGTATCTGTGGTCTTCAGAGAAATACTATTATATTATGTATCAATTTTCAATATTTCATCTCCCAAAAACATTTGAATATACAAGGGCTATCTGTTAGGAAAAATGCTATTAACAGAGCAAATACATAGTAGCCAAATTGGATGGAATTTGTCCTTTATTGTGGAGTTTTTCAGAAATTTTTGTTGTTTATTTTTTGACCAAAGCAATTTCACAAAATCAAGTCTTGGTGGTCTACCGCACAATTGTAATTCTCCAGTTCTAGTAATTCTCCATACCCTGAGCTCAGCTGCTCTTGGACACAATTTGGAAGTTATAGTTAGTGTATAATATGGCAAATAGCATACATAGATTATATGGAAACAGTTGAACCAAACCGCATGAGCTTGCCAGTATATTTCCAGTGATTTCAAGGTATTAGAGGTGATACTAAGTGCTAAAAAGCTTGATATTTTGATACATGAGGATATGCATCTCACCGTGCTCTGCAGCTCTAGGGCTTTTCCTTTATTCTCCATCATTAGAAGCAATACATTATGTAGAAAATGAGACAAATTCTTCTCAGTTTGGGGTCCTGACTTTGGTATACTCTCTAAATAGAAGACTGCCTGGTTAGCTGGCGCTGATGTTAACTTAGCCTCAAGTTAAAAATGGCTACTTACCCAAATACTAGAATTTTATTGATTTTGCTAATTGTATTTTGTATGCTTGTGGTTTGTTATTTTGTTATTCTGTATTATATGCATCATACCCTAAGATCTATAGCTGTAAAGTGGATTTAGACATAAATGTGAACTGGAAATTCTGTGGATGCAAATATGCTAAGTATTATGTATAGTTTCCAACACATTGTTGTCAAAAAGTAAATGCAAAATATTAATTTCAGGATTCTGCTTTCCTTCTGCAGCTTCTCAGTTCTTTTGTTAATCATACACTCAGTGTGCATCAGTAGGAAGAGGGGAGCGGTATATGCTCAGATTTCATACTGTGTGACTTCCAGTTGTAGATTCATTGGTTACCAACTAAACAGCAGTTCTGTAGATGAAGTGGGCTCATGAGCAATAGATAACTTTTTAACATTATTGAACATCCTTTGTTCAATAATAAAGATAGTAAATAGCAAGAACAACAGTAGTCTCTGAGAGAGTCATCTGGAAAAGGATTACATTCTTTATTACTGCCCTGTGGTAGTCAGGTACTGCCCTTGCCTTGTCCAAATAAGGCTCAGGATTTGGATCAGTCAGCCTTTTCTCTTTTGTTATAGTTTCTCTCTAAAATAATATTCAGTTAATGTAAAATTAATTTTTTTAAAAAATCCTGTGCCCAGGGATGAGTTTTTATTTTCTTTTTATCACTTTTTTTTATCACTTTTTATCAAGGGTTGCACGTGGCTGTTAATATTGTTCCAATAGCCAGTAGAATCATTCACAGTCCAGTAAGGCAATATATAGAATCTTTTGAGGGAAAAGCCAAGGTTCTTATTCACCCTCCTTGTCATCTCAATGGTTATTAAAGCTGATACCAGGAGTTAAAAAAATGTTGAATGTGATATATAAAGCCTTGGTTATCTAAAAGTCTGCTAAGGTTTCCTATTCACAGACTGATTGCTGGCATGCAGGCTTAGCTTACACAAAGTAGTAAAGAATCTGTGGGCAAATAAGAGTCCCAAGTGGGTTTTATATAACCTATAGGCAGTCTGCCATTAAAATTCTGAAACTCATATTAACTTTGAAACTAAATACTTTTCAGCCTTCTCTTTGGAGACACTTTGTTGTATTTAAAGTATCAGGACTAAGAAAAGCATAGCCAAAATTTTTGAGGACATACATTGACAATTTTCTTCTGTTCCTTTTGTACTTTCAAGATAAGAAGTCTTTACAAATATACATAATTCTCATTTTATGGAAAGAAAGAATTATATAAACTGAATTCGGTTTAAGAGTTTAACAGCCCAACTGGATTAGAGTAAAAGTTTATTTACTTCACTATTCCCATAATGATCAACCAGATGTCTGTGGGAAACTCGTAGCCATGAAACATTGCCTATGGAGCAAAGAATAGTAATCTTGAGAGAAATCTTTCAAGTCTGGAATTGTGTACTTATTTTTGGAAGTATCTCCAACTGAATTTATTGCGACTTATTTCTGAGTAGACATGTATAAAATTAAACTGGACTTTTGTTGAAGGCATTAAAGGTTTTAATGAATGATAGATGGTTGAAAGCAGTTCACCTTTTGAATTTTTTTAGAAGCACTGCTTTTTAGAAAAGTGGCAGTTATTATTGCAACTATTTGCAGATTTATGTGACAATATTACAGACAGCTAGAATATGTAGAACACTGCTGCATTTTTCAGTATAGTACTTTTTCTGATAAATAATGCTTCCTGTCTCATGAATTTATGTGTTTGTATTTTTAATTACCCTTGTTCCATGATTTTGTGTCTAATAGAGTGAAAAGTGAAAACGCACAGCATACCCTGACAGAGTGTGTATGATTACATTTGTTTGGATGTTTTAGTTACCACAGTTAATTATTTTGGGTTTTTTATGTAGTGTTTGTTTGTTTGTTTGTTTGTTTGTTTGTTTGTTTGTTTGTTTGTTTGTTTGTTTGTTTGTTTGTTTGTTTGTTTGTTTGTTTGTTTGTTTGTTTGTTTGTTTGTTTGTTTGTTTGTTTGTTTGTTTGTTTGTTTGTTTGTTTGTTTGTTTGTTTGTTTGTTTGTTTGTTTGTTTGTTTGTTTGTTTGTTTGTTTGTTTGTTTGTTTGTTTGTTTGACAAGATGCTTTCCACAGACCTTTTGCTGCTGAACTGAGTTGGCTTTTTTCTTTCTGTTAAGTTCAGCAAACTGTTGCTTGCTCTTGCTATCCCCAGTGGTCTGGTAGTGAAGTCCCTTGGTGATGATGATCTTGAATCAGAAAGCCTATTTCATTAAACTTTCCTAATAGGTGATTCCAGGCCCTGTCCTACACATTTCTTCGAGGCAGGTGAGCAGGTGGGCTTCAGAACTGCATGAACAAATCAGTGAATCTTGACTGTTTTGCATAGTGTGATACATAAACCATCTCTTACTGCAACCCCTAACAATAATACAGGGAGCAACCACCACATTGAAATGTCTTACATTTTTTTACTGTTTCCAGGGAAAACCCTGTTTCTTTGATAGGAGAAGAAACATCTAGTTCCATATAGTTTTCTTTGACTACAAATCCCATAAACCAGCAGTGTCATACTGCTGGAGCTTTTAAAATTATAGTACAAAATGCTGGACAGCACTAGGTTCTCCATTCTTAATTTAGGCATAGTCATCAAGTCTGTGTCACCATTTGGCAGGTTGATTCTTTCTGCAGGTTGTTCTTTTTAGAAGAAGACTAACATGGGCAATCTCGCATCACACCTCTGCTGAAACCTCGCTACAGGTCTGAGGTCTATTTAAAAGAGGCATTGAAACGCTAAGAATACTTATTTTGTGAAGTTACATACAATAATTTAAGGTCTCAGTTTTCCAAGTGTCATTTTAGCATAGTTGGAATCCATGAATGTTAAAATGATGCCAGCTAGTCATGCATGAATTACTGTCTTTTATAGTTTCACTTTCAAAAGCCAAGAAAGAAAGCTATTCTGTTTGGAAACTGTATGTGTTCCTTCTTGTAGTAAAATATTTTCAGGCAAATGGTAGGCTTCTCTGCAATATTACTCCAGTCTTCTTTTTTTATCTCTGATGTTCATAATGGGTATTATTCCAATTATGTTGTAGACTTAAATATATTACACACTTATATGTTTGTTTGCTGTAATGCATGGAGTATTGCATGTTCTTCCAAAATAACAGAATATTACTCAAGGATAATGATTATAACCAATTGTTTATGCAAGCTTATTATAATACAGTTGTGCCATCTTGCCAAGTATAAAAAAGGAAACTGTGAGGTCCATTATCATCATTCTTAAGGATTTTTTTAAAAAACTGGCAAAACTGGAGCTTTGGATCTGTTCTATCATTCACAAATCAGAAGCAGATATATAGACAGGAGTGCAGTCTTTCCACTTGAAGTAGGTAAGGTAAGAAACTTTAGGCAGCCTTTAGAAAAGTTTGCACAATTCTCTGATAATGTTAAGTACAGATTTCCTAATTCTAAAATAACATCTTTCTTTCTCAGAGGTGTGCAGTTAGAAGCATGATTAGATTAGCACCTAAAACTGTTTTTAGAATCAGAATAACAAAGTGAATTGAGGTCTTAACCTCAATATCCACATTTTCTGTTGAACTTGGAGGCATTAGAAGATTCCTTGCATGTTGTAAATGTCTGCATTCATTTGGAAAGATAGTATGTGTAGACTATCACACCTGATTGTACTATTTCTAGCAAATTTTTGCAGTGTAGTTTAAATTGTTGAAGGATGTCCTGTTTCTTCTATTCTTTAACATGTAACATGACAATTTTAACTAACTTTATTGATGGGAAGTGTTTTAATTAGATAAGAAGCAGAAGAAGTAAACCACTAGGCCTAACCAATCAAGTGATAATGTGTGAGTTTTTTTTTTTTAAAGTCGAAGTATATAAATGTATAGGTTGCAAGTAAACACGAGATAGTAGCTGATGAAATCAGGCTAAAATTCATGGAAGATTGCTTGATGGTTATAAATTTCATAGTCTGTACAAGATATATAAGGCAATAAACTCTTGCAGTTTTTTCTGCTTTAAGATAAATTGCTTGTCTGAGAATCAGAGATACATTCTGTGATTAAAAGTTCTTAAAACATGAGAGGCATAATGAAAAGCTTCCTTATGTTACAGTCTTCATAAATTCAGATGCATTTTAGTGACTGAGAAGTTGAGAGCCTCTGGAATCATCTTAACATTTTTGGTTTCTTCTACTGTTTCTTCATTTCCTTTGTGTTTCTTCTTGATTTATTAAGGAAGCACCAGATTGCTGTGTTTCTGCTATAGAACAAACATTAATTTTATCTTTGTAATTCTACATTTTGATTTTTTTTTTTCAGAACAAGCAGAAAGGATTGGCTTCAAAAGATGCAGCAAACTCAGTCATAGAAGACGTGGTAGAAGGGCAAGGTTCTGGGGTGACAGATACAGGACAATCCATTCAGTCTGAAGAAACATCAAATAGGACAAAACAAGCAGAGAGAGAGAATAACCTTCAGCAAGCAGATGACTTGTCTGCAAATCAAGTTGAATTAAACATCCCTTCATCTCCAGAGGCTATAGCTGTTCGCCCACATGGGGACTATAATTTGGTGAATTCTCTGCTCAATCTTACCAAAAGCCCGGTGAGTGACTATCAGATACAGCAGAATTAATGTTGGATTTAAAGAGGGAGATCATTTCTCTGTTGATGTGTAATGTACATGGATATACAGTCAGCATGTTATATGCTGAAACTGCAAGTCACATATTTTAAATACACTGATTACTCTTCATATGTCAAAATATTTTGCATGAGATTAGTTTTATTTTGAGGACAACTACTCCTCACCTAATAGGAAATGCAGTGCATTCTCCCCACTTTTCAACTAAGCAATCCAATCATGTAGGATAAAAACAGAGCCTTATTACTGCTAATTCTGAGTCCAAACATGAATCTTACCAAAGTTTTAAGCTGAACTTTCAGAGGAATGGAAGTTTCACAGTGTGTTATGTTTGGTGGTTGTTTGACTGCTAAGCAGTCATGGTGATGACACATCTATTTTTAACCAAAATTCATGGGAAGTTCAGAATTCTTCCAAACTTGCTCAGTCAGGGGTTCCCAAACTGTGGATCAGGATTGCTGGTGAATTGTAAACTACAGGATGGGGGCGTGGGGGCGAATGTCACAGATGAGGCTTTGGCAGGCAAAGTGGTAACATTTTCCAAATGCTTTCTAGGCTTTGCTTTTCATTTTCCCTATGCAGTTCATAGGGGGAAACTGTTGTAAAGGTAAGTCTGAGAAACCTTGCTGTACATGGAAGAAAATATAATTATTAAAAGTGGTTTATTTATCTCTTACCCAACATTAACACCAACAATATCATTAATTTTTCTTTGTAGAGGAGTCAGTACATTAATTTACTATTTTTCAGGAGGGCAAACTACAAAGTTAGAGGACCACTATTGTAAGTTGCTTAAGTCTTGCTCTAAATAGTATGCTATTTAGTACCCAATGTACTAAATAATGCTTTAGTTTAACAAGGACTTTTAGACCTTGTTAAAACTATCAATATTTTGTTGGCCATGTTGGTAGAAGTTCCCATGCTAGCAGTGTTGTGAAACCCATTTATTTTTTATAAAGTTAATAAAGGTGCCTTTGAGAATGGAAACTTTCTCACTCATGGACCGGCTAATTTGGTATCTCTGTCAATATTTCTAGGAACCAAAGTCCATTTTTTAAATTTTTCCGAGCTCTTTAATTTTTATGTTGTTATATCCTTTTAACTATTTTGTAAACTGCTAGGAGTCAATCTGATTATGATGGTCTGTATGTTTAATAAATAAACAAACAAGCAAAATTAGTCTTAAATATATATTCACGCCATATTATGCAATAAATTATTAATCTTAATCTGTTCTACCCACCCCTACGTTGTGTTTTAGCCTTCCTGTTCTATGTACTTTCTGTTACATTTTGATTTAAAATATTTTAAATATAAATAAACTTACTGGAATTCCTTCTTCATAAGCATGCATAGGCTTGAGGTTCAGAGTCTATCATAAGCTGTCTGATTTCCTTATAATGGGTCATGGAAACTATGGTAAGTAGAAGTGCTTCAACTAAGTAAAATGGATTGTTCTTCCTTTGCAGGATGGCCGAATAGCAGTGAAAGCTTGTGAAGGCCTCATGCTTCTAGTGAGTCTGCCTGAGCCAGCAGCTGCCAAGTGCTTAACACAGAGTACCTGTTTATGTGAACTGCTGACAGATAGGCTGGCCTCTCTCTACAAAGCCCTTCCTCAGTCATTGGATCCCTTAGATATCGAAACAGTCGAAGGCATTAACTGGGGGTAAACATTCTGTCCTTGCATATTTGTATTACATTGTGGACTCTTGGGCATGTTATGGGAGTTATTTCTAAGCTATACATTGACTTATGTTTATAACCTACCTTATGCTTGAGATGGGTTAAACTTTCAATGTGTCTCAGTTGGTAAAAGCATCCAAATATCAATAAAATAATGAAAATTATCTAAATGTTTAGAATTGTTGCTTCTCGTTATGTTATCATGGTAGTCAATATCAAATATGTTTCATTTGCCTTCATTTCCTGCACTCTAGTTTGGATTCCTACAGCTACAAAGAAGATGCATCTGCTTTCCCAGGGAAAAGAGCTCTGATTTCATTCCTATCCTGGTTTGATTACTGTGATCAGCTCATTAAGGAAGCTCACAAGGTTTGTAATCCCTGTATTAGTCATTGCCAAAACAAGTTCACAAAGCTATGGTTTGTAAACCATGAAGATGACATCTTGATGCCCTCTATGTTTCAGACAACTGCTGTTGCCATGGCAAGCTCAGTGCGGGAGCGTTTTTTCATTGGCGTGATGGAACCTCAGCTAATGCAAACGTGAGTAATCTTCCATTGAAAAATGAAGAGGGCTTTCCCTGATCCTTTTTTTAACTAAGGAACCCATGTCACTTGTTTAAAAAATTCTTATTTTGATCAGTTCAGAGATTGGAATTCTTACTTCAACTGCCCTGTTGCATCGTATCGTTCGGCAAGTCACATCAGATGCCTTAGTTCATGAAATGGTTTGCTTTATCCTTGGAGAGCAGAGGGAGCCAGAAAAACTAATGGATGTCAACAGGCACCCATTGCGACATCGCTTAATTGAGCACTGTGATCACATTTCAGATGAGGTAAGAAATTCAAATAGAGCAAGTGCATACTGCTGTTGGATTCAAAGCTACTCTGTGCAGAAACAACTTGTCTTCAAATGTTTAGTAATAAGAGATCTTTTAAATGGTGAACAGCATTGCAAAATAGTTCATCTTTAGGTACCAGATAACCATAAATAAAATATATTTTAAAACATTGAATGCAACCTGAAGGTTACACTACTACACCTTCTACTAGTCTCATTTCTAAGTGACAGACCACTCTGAGGATAAATAATTTAGTGTAACCTATAAGGTGCTGAAGAACAAATACTTAGAAGTGCTATATTCAGTCCCCAGCATATGTGCTTCCTTTCCTATCTGACAAATATAAGACGCTAACATTTTGGGAGCTGATACAGAGATGGGTAAGAGACAGAATGGAAAACTGTGAGGCAGAAATGCCATTCAACACTTTCAGAGGCTGAGCAGATCACTGATAACCTAAAGTGCTCTGCTGGTCTAGCGATTAGAAAACTAACATCTCAAGATTTGCCTCAGGCTAGCAAGCCTGTAACTAACACTTACTTAACTGCTACTTTGAACTTGTGGCATGTCTTGTGTCCAGTGTCTAAGCAGTTAAAATAGGCATGAGAAAGTTGTGGTCCTCCAGTTGTTGCTGAATTGCAGCTTCAGTGATAGTCATACTAACCAGGCTAATTCAGTAACATCTGGAAGGGTAAAGATTTCTCACCCCCAACCTAGAATAGTTCATTCAGATGGACTCTCAAAATATTATTTCGTACAGCAGCTTTTCCTAATAGCTACCTATAGAGAGCCACCAAATTAGGACATACAGTGAGGGAAAAAAGTATTTGATCCCCTGCTGATTTTGTACGTTTGCCCACTGACAAAGAAATGATCAGTCTATAAT